ATGAATGAAGGTGAAAATGGCTGAATTGCTCAGAAATTACAAAAAATGACTGAGTTTTTCTGAGAAATCAGTCAGTCTTTTTTTTGTTTCTTCTTGTTCTTCTACTTTTTTGCAACCCATCCAAGCTTTCACATACAATGGCTGGACCGTCCAGTACGAGTGGGACGACTGGCACGACGACGACGACGAGTGGGAGCAACACGATGCGGGGATCGCCGTCGCCAGTGACGTCGCCTGGGCCGCTGCTCATGTCCGGCCAGACGACGCCTCAGCCATCACTCATGCATCCGTATGGCCACCACCACCACCACCAGCAGCAGCAGCAGCAGCAGCAGCACTCTGCAGTCACAACGCCGATTGCCGCTTCCTCTTCTTCTGCTGCTGCTGCTACTGCTGGAGTGCTCAGCCGCGGCGCATCGTCCAACTCGCTCACCTCGCTCGGCCTCAACCCCGCGGCAGCCAACATGCTCGACGTCTCGTCGTCCTTCTCCATCTCGGGCGCCCCTGGTGCTGCTGGTCTTGGTGGCACTGGCTCTGGCTCTGGCTCGGCTGCAACAACACTCTACCCGTCCGCCTCGTTCCACGCATCGTCAACGTCGCTCTCCATGCTCGCTGCAGACGCAGAGTCAACCACATTCGGAACGAACATGGTTGCGCGGTTGGATCAGCAGCCGACCTGCTTCTCGATCGACGCAAGCGGCACCCTCGGCGTCGTCGCATCGTACGTCCCCCTCTCCCTCTGTGTGTTACATGCTCATGGCCTGATGCAGGACTATGTTGGAAGAGCGCATTGGAAGCAACTTGGGCAATATTGGGGAATTGGGAATACGGGATGAGCCCAACCACTTGAAATTTGGGCCAGATTGGTTCAGATTGATTCAGATTGGTTCAGATTGATTCAGATTGGTTCATAAGCGATTCGTATGGGTCGTATTGGATCCCAGTGAAGCAGATTGGATCACATTGGATGGCGCTGGATGGCGGCCGATCACGCTGGATCATGTTGCATCGCACAGTCTTATGGAGCGTTTCTCGTCTCACTCGCGTTGTCGCCATTGGTTCGCTGACACTTTGCTGTATTTGGATGGCTGCATTCTGCACAGACGAAAAGGATTGTCGATTATCGACTTGGAGGCGCCAGATCAACCAGCGCGACCGCTCGTGCACCACACGAAATGGGAGATTAACGACGTGCAATGGAATCCGCACACAACGCGCTCGTCGTATATTGCTTCGACTGTATGGATTGTGGAGCATTGGTTTTTGTGACAGCCTGTTTTTTGTGGTTGGCCGTTTGGATTGCACTCTCATCGTTCCACCCCTCTGCTTGTCGATCCAGTCCAACACGAAGGCGCTGATCTGGAATGCTGCAGACGACCGTACACCGCTGCTTCATGTGCTCAAGACGCATCAGCGCGCCATTAGTGACATCAACTGGTCAAATTTTGACGAAAACGTGCTGGCAACAGCGTCCGTCGACACGTACATTCATGTGTGGGACATTCGAGACCCCTCCAAACCATCCGCCTCCCTGTGTGCCTGGACCTGTACGTCATGCGCATGTCGTTTCGTTGTCTGCAATCTGCACGGTTCTCCATCTCTGATTTGCCTTTTGACAATGGTTTTTGTTGTTTCGTTGGAATCCTTTCGCAGCCGGCGCGCTGCAAGTCAAGTGGAACCGATTCAATCGCAACCTTCTCGCCTCTGCGCATGACGGTGATGTCAGGATCTGGGATTTGCGCGTAAGTCCGAGCTCAATGTCGTTCTTGCTGGATTGGCTGTAAGGGAGCTGACGGCCGATGCTTTGCATTAAATTTCCATCGTGAGCAGAAAGGCACAGCACCCGCTGTTTACATCACCGGCCACATGGCGAAAATCTACGGTCTCGATTGGAGCCGCTCATCCGAGAATGAGCTCGTATCCTGCGCCCAAGACGCCAAAGCCAAAGTGCGGGATTTTCACTCGTTGATTTTGTTTCTCTTTCTTGGTGTGTCGTTCACCGCACTCACTCCGTCTACCGCTCTCTGCTAACAGCTGTGGAATATTACAAACACTCGCGCGCCACAAGCTGTTATTCACGCAGGCGCGCCAATTTGGCGCGCGCGGTTCACCCCGTTTGGAAACGGGCTTTTGACCATCACGCTTCCGCCTCCGCAACTCCGCGTGGACAACTCTGTCTTGCTGTGGAGTCTTGACAACGTGTCTGCACCCATCCACTCCTATAACGGCCACTCTGAGCAAGTTAAAGAGTTTGATTGGCGTATTCGCGGATCAGATGGTACGTGAGCAAAAAGCGTGGCGCCGTTGTTTGTTTGTTGTTCGTCGAGCCCTGAGTCCCATGTTTTGGCTGGTCAGATTATCGCGACTTCCAGTTGGTCACTTGCTCCAAGACCAGACCATGCGCCTTTGGCATATCGATGCACACGATCAAGAGGTAACGTTCAATTTT